GGGGGGGGGGGGGGGTGGGGGGGTCCAGGGTTAGGGTGGGAGTTAGGGTGGTGGGAAGTTCTAATTTTACTATTTTTTTATTATTATGATCTTTCTTAGTATTAAAACATAAAGAACTATCAAATAAAGTTCTAAATCTAAATTGAAGAAAGAAATCATTAGGCATGAATTGACATTTATTCCAAAACATAAGACAACTTTTATATATGCTTGTTTGAAAGTTGAGAATATTGCAAAGATTTGGGTCAATTTAGTTGTGCTACAACCTATTGTTTAATTCATCTTGACCCAGGGTTAAGCGATGACGCATTGAATGAGTCAACACATCTTGGCTAGCTCAATACTGCCCAAATAACCCATTTGCCACCCCTATCTAAAATTATGCATAAATTATCAATACACCATCTTAGTTCTTTTTTGTTTCCCTTTAGTTTATGAAATTTAGCTTCGCAAATGACATATTCTAAAGTACATAGACAAGAAGAAACTAATATACCATAGTTAGCTTTCTGTAAGTTAAAAAAATTATTCACAAATCTTTTCCTGAACATAATTTCAGGACTAAGTGTGAGCAAATCCAAATCCTATTGAACCAAACTTCTCAAGAACTGGCATCTCCAAAGTGCACTCTGAGAAGGCAATAAATGCCCAGTCATTAATGTCCTGAAGAAGCTGTAAACATTCAGAAGAGCACAGCCATGAATTAGGACTCTTGCATCTACTACTACTCACAATCGTATATGTTCTCAGCAGGAAACAAATGTTTTGTACAATTCTCAAACATGTAAATGCTTCGTGAAATTAACCCCAAGAGCTGACAAAACATCATGCCGCAACATATCCTGAGGTCCTACAACATGTTGCTGTGGATAAAGCAATGGCTTGAGTTCAACAATTATGGTGGATACTACATGCAGTAGCATACTAGCATTATACCCAAAGCGAGTTTGTACAGTCTTATTAGAGCCTATTTAGCAATATTCTACCTAATTGCCATGACTAGAATATCACTTAAAGGTCCATCGACTCAGCGCAACCAATTGAAGTTCAAATAAGAAATTCATTTCAAAGAACATTTGATTGAGACAGTATCATTAATGAGTTTGTTCCAAGATTTAGTACCCTCCACTTTTACAAACCCATCCATCATCATTACAGTAGCATTCGTTAGGTATATTGTTCTTGTATGTCCTCCTTCTATCTTTGCAAGCCAACACAGAATTTGTGCAGTCCTCACTTGGACATGTATGCCGATGTGGGTATGTTTTACAACACAAGACGATGATATGGTACAGTGAGAGTTGGTCCAGAGGGACTTTCATGTCAAAATTGGAATGTAGTATAGACATGCCAAAGGCATTAGAGATACCTTAAGATTTAGGCAGTACCAGTTGCTCATTGCTCAAGTAATTGGCAACCACAGAACCAGAAGCAGACCGAAAAAGGTTTGCAAATAAAGTACAAAGTCTCCAGCCAATGTAAGCTTTCTGAGATCCACATTTGTCTTCACTCCTAGCCCATTAAGCATGGAAGCAACATCCACTGTGAATTGCCAAGAAAAAACTAGTGGTAAATCGACAAATATTTTGTACCATATCATGTAAGTCTTAAAGCAAACATAATGCATATATTCCACATTAACAATTCAATTAGGTGTTTTGCAAAACCTGAACTGGAATAAAAAGTTATCTACTCCAATTCACCTCACGTGGTAAATAGACAATTTAAGAATTAGGAGAATCACAGTTAAACCACCTTTCGGCTGTCTGTCAGATCAAATCATTGAGGACGGAAGTTGGGATTGCGAGGCGAAGGTAAATAGAACCTAATCCATTTTGTTTGAATCGGAAATAACATACGCCATATGATATTAGTCATTTAGACATTCTGATGTTAACACATATATAACAGAACAATAAACGCAAGATATGCAAGGATAAAATCATCCTACTGCATTACAAATGCTTTCTAGGAGAACTCGATAAACAACAAATTGTTTATTACGCTATTCGGACACACAAAAGTCATGTACCTGAGGTGTACCCATTTTCGACATACAAAACTAGTACCTTAGACAACATGCTGCATCACTTTTTTTAAAATAAGTTCAGAATTCACTTAACTAGGTAAAATTGTCTTCTCATTTTGTAGTCTATCTGTTGAACCAACTTCCACTATCTTCTGGGAATCAGGGATAGATCCCACAAACTGCATAACTATTTATAAGCTGCCACAACACTAGGACAAAAACTTCTTTTGTAACTTAAATCGCGAGGACTTCAGAAAAGAATCATTTCTCTACCTTTCGTAGAAATACTTCACTGTTGGTATACCATGTGCTCATGCCTATTTGTTAATTCTGTTATGATGTAATATATCTTTGACTAATTATCATAGATTATAAAAAAGATATTCTCGTGCGTGAAATTTAATCCCACCGACAATCTCCTCATTAACGATCCCTAACTGCCTATGGAGTGGGAGTATACCTTAGGTAGCTCATATTCCTAAATGCTTCTGATTTTCACAAGTGAATTTCACAAAAACAGTAATATCAGGATAAAAATTACAGTAGGGCATAGTAAATAATTGACATTCTGAATTCATGCGTCAATTGAATTCTTAATAATCTCAGAAAACTGGGAATAGTAAATCACTTTTCCTATGCCTTGTGTTTACCCTGGAGCATTCTTAATAATCTCAGAAGACTGGGAATCGGGTGTTACAAGCCAAAATTATGCGAATATTATCTAGTTCAAATATTATTGTTTCTTGTGCTTTCTCATTTTTTCTGCAATCTGTACTTTTTACAGTCATGTTGTGAGCCTATGCAAGACTTAAACATGCTAGCTAACCCATTAGTTAAATCGGGAAGAGCAAGAGCTAGAGCTAGAGAAAGGAGTGTTGATTAACTGGATCTGGATAACTGAACCATGAGAAGAGAAAAGAAAGCCTCTTTTTGTGAGATCATGTATTGGGAAAAGAAGAGCTCAATAAGATTCATGAGAATGAACTGTTTTCTTGGTCTTTCCACATTGTTCTTTATTAGTTTCAAGTTTCAGGTCTTGTTGCTGTCGTTAACTTAACAGTCTTTTGTTTGTATCTCAGGGAATTGGCATTTTACTGTCTGGGTTGTTTGGCACTGGGAATGGATCTTCTGTATCTATGTAAGTCCAAAACAATCTTCTGCCGAGTGATAAACTCTTGTTATAATAGTTGATTAAGATGTCCTTTCCTTTGCGTATATGCAGTGAGAATGCGGGTCTTTTAGCACTGACACGTGTTGGCAGCAGAAGAGTTGTTCAGATATCTGCAGGATTTATGATTTTCTTCTCAATTCTAGGTAAATCACCTGCTTAAACATTCCCTTTGAGAAGGATCTTACTGATATATTACATTCTGAATTCATGCGTCAGATGTTCCCTGGCGTACAGTTGTACTAATTGACATATTTGAGCCCATCACACCCTTCTGTTTTCTCATTTCAGTGACATCATCACTTAAAAAACACCTATTGTTTCTCAACGGGGCAACTGTCCATGAACATAATCAGTTTAGGTAAGTTATACAATATGAATAACTACAGTGAAACACATAAATATTTGGAACTAACCATTTGTTATATCACACAAAGGAGGACCTCTTTTTTTTCGATTCCATTCCCTCTAACACAAGCGGGACAAACATTCTCCGTAGAATGTCATTTTTTACGATTCAAGTACAAAGTAATAAAAATAAAGCCAATATAATGAAACATATATATGATAAATAATATAAAACGACTCTAAACAGAGTCTTGTCTACCATTCTAGTACAAAATAAAGCCAATATAATTTTTGGCTAAAAAAGAATTCGAAGTCCAAGCAACTAATTTAGCGATGAAAGAATGTATCACGATGTGACTTCGAGAAACGTATTTTCTTTAGTCCAAGATAATTATTTGGTAAGAGCTCTAAACATACTCCAAAATTAGTAGTAATTGACATGGTGGTTTATAATCTACAATGATTAGGTCATGGCCTTCGTAAGTAAATCTGCAATACATGGATTTAAACTCCAAAATGTGTATTTTAGTTGATTCTTTATCAACAAAGATATATCTAGCATAATTATATTATATACAAATAAGGCTAAATACAGCAAAGCAAAAACTACTAATCAAAGTTCATACCATCGTTATCAACGAAATTTATAATTCTCCATCTTTACTGTCTTTTCAGCAAATAGTCTTTTCATAAATTATCTAATGCAATTCCTTCATTAATCTCCAGTAAGTTTCCAGACATGAAAATTTCTTCTAAACTGAAAATTACAGCAACTACTACCTCAAACATCGGCAATTACACAACTTTTGTTGACTCCTATGCTGTATAAATCAAGAAAGGAAGCAACTAAGATAGTTTCCCAATACCATATATCTTATCAAAATCTAATTCTTCTAAATCACCAATTTTTAGTCTGATAAACTCCTAAAAATTACCCCCTGGACTATCAATAAACTTCCTCATAAATTTAGAACAACTTATTATTGCTGATAATTAATTGTAGAATAATTTGTGAGAGTATAATTAACAGAAGCCACACTCCATAGCTCAGCCATGATAGAAGAATCTATCCTGTAACCTACTAACCCAATCCATTTTACCATAGCTGTTGTAACATTGATTGACTGAAAAAATTAGAAGCTTATAGCTTCCTAACCACCGAAATATAAATCAAGACATAAAACTTTTGGATAATTGGCATGTGACTTTGTTGAATCAATAAAATAATCATTAAATCTCCAAAACTCTTGAAAATTAAGTCAACTTCCAATATTGATAATCAGGAAAGAGCAACATGTATGTATTCATCTTCAGTTAAATATGTCTTACTCTTCAACGACGATTCTCGATGAGTATATCATTCATCTTCGTCGTCTTCAGATCGGATGCAACTTTCTGTACAGCACTGTAGTAATTCCAGTAGCCAACTCATCAGAAATAGAATAACTATGCTGAGAAGTTATTTGACTGATCCTGGAGGAGTTAGCTTTACGCAAACTTCCTAATCTGCATTTATTCAAGTTTGTATTAGTTATAAACTGTACAAACTGTACAAATCAGGAAAGACACCATCTAAGGTAGTTTACCGATACCATATATCTTATCAATATCTAATTCTTCTAAATCACCAATTTTCAGCCATATAAACTCCTGAAAAACACCCCTAGACTATCAATAAACTTCCTCATAAAATTTAGAACAACTTATTATTGCTAATAATTAATCGTAGAATAATTGGTGAGAGTATAATCAACAGAGGACGAAAAGCCACAGTCCATATTTGAGCCCCGATAGAGGAATCTATGGTATCACTTACTATCCCAATCCATTTTACCACAGCAGTTGTAGCATTGATTGATTTTTTTTTTTTTAAAGTTTATAGCTTCCTAACCACCGAAATATAAATCAGTCCATTGTTGAATGCAATAAAATAATCATAAGACCTCCAAAACTCTTGGAAATTAAGTCAACTTCCAATAATGATTGCCAGGAAAGAGCAACGTTCATGTGTTCATCCTCAGTTGAATATGTCTTACTCTTCAATAACGTGACTATCTCATTCATCTTCATCATCTTCAGATCGGATGCAACTTTTTGCAATTACATGTTTATGAAGATGGAGTATTCTACCCTTCAGCTTCTAACTTTGTGTCTTGAACTAATTTTTGCGGATCACAACCAGTCCATAAATTATTAAAGCTTCCATAAAAACTAGACTAAGCAATAGCATACCTCGTATTTTTCCCTCTGCCACAAGCTGTCTCGCAATACCCTTTATAGCTTGACCCGCAGCAGTTATAATTGCAATATGACCCAATAAGCTCTCTATTGCGCAGTCATAAAGTTGTACGACCAGAGCGCTAGCAGCATGCAGTAGTGGTGTCATTTTCTTCAGAAAGGCAACACAATGGTACATCCCAGAAATTAGGATAACCCTCAATAAACATCAGGCCTTTTACCTCAATAGTGGCATTATTTTCTTCAGAAACAAAGGAATGACACTGCTTTGGCATTTGCAAATCCATGTAGAATACAAATAAATGTTTCCGTTGAGCAAACGAACACATCAACCAGATATTGCATGATAGCGAGTGTTTGGAATTGTCAGCAGCTCCAAGCATTGAACTATCCATAAAATGTCATTATTAAAACTATTTCTCAAAAAACCTTCCATAACATCTTCACTTCCCACTTTTTTACAGGAAGCCTCAATATCTTTCTTCTATCTAATTAATATTAAAACTTTACTACTTAAAGGTACTACTTAAAGGTAACTGGTTACATTTAACAAGCTTCCCAGCGGTTCCAAGTCTCATATGTCGACAGTTCCTCGTTCCAATTTTGAAATAACTCAAAAAACAGGACAAAACCCTTGATCCATTAGAAATAATTTTTTTGGCCACTGTTCTCCATCTCCGGCCTTAATGCCATATTCCTTTTGTTCCTCCTAAATTTTTGTGTTTTTATTATGTAAATCAAAATCAAAACCTCTTGAGCTTACTTTGCATTGGGCTATTTTATTTTTTTTTGATAAGGTAAATTGTATTAATCAAAAGGGAGAAAAAACTCCCGCATACAAGAAGTATACAAAAAAGTAGAGAATTTACATCAAAACATGATTCTCTACAAAAGACGCCCAATCTTCTACACAAGTAGGGGCTATATGTGTGCACCAAAAAGCGATCAAAGAGAAAAGACTATTCTTAAGATGTGAAAACGGAGAATCAATCCCCTCAAAAACTCTCATATTTCTCTCTCCCCAGACTATCCACATGAGAGCTAACGAGGCGAACTTCCACGCCTTTTGATTGCTTCTTCTACGGAAACCGGCCCAGCTATATAGCATTTCCTTTACAGTGTTTGGCATCACCCATTGAACACCAAAAAGATTCAGGATTGCCCTCCACAAACCCCAGGACACGGGGCAATGCAGCATAAGATGATCAACTTATTCCCCTGAGCTTTTACACATGTAGCACCAACTAACATGTGCAATTCCTATCTTCCGCAGATTTTCAGCTTTCAAGATCACTCCCCTCGCTGCTAGCCATGCAAAAAAGCACACCTTCGTGGGCACCTTAGGAATCCAGATCGATGAGTATGGAAAATTAGTCTCCTCTCTCACCAACATACTCTGGTAAAAGGACTTTACGGCTACATTGCTCCGACATGGCAGTTTAGGTACCGCACCCGTGTCGACACGACACTAGTATGGGTGTGGGTATGGGATCCGTACCGGATCTGGTCAAACGATTTTGGATACTTTGACCCCGACGGACGAAAAAATTCTAGGCGATATACAATTTAATTCCCGAAATCAAAACTAAAATTAGGATAAATTTGAATAAAATAGCATACCTTATCTAGGAAATCAATCCTTTTTTATCTACAACTTGAGAGTAAAAAAAAAAATTCACACTTTACAAGCTATACACAAGTATTCCCCAAAATTTATCATAATTTAGAAATATTTTTTATATTTTTATTTTTTGAATTATTTTAGCCGGATCCTTGCACCCGTATCCGTACTAGGATCCGTATCCACAAATCTTACAATTTACATCTCGAAGGATCCGACCTCTAGATCCGCACTCATGTCGGACACCTACACCCGTGTCCAAGTAACTTAGCTTTACGGTGAACAAACCATCGGCACGCAGCCCCATATCCAAGAATCGCAAGATGGATGGGGTATTTCTTGCCCGTATAGCAGTGCCAACAAATTTTGGAACTCCGCAATCTCCCAATCTTGCATGTTCCTTCTAAAAGAGAGGTCCCATACTGTCCCCCCTTCATGCTCCTTGCGAATCTGTTGGACCATCAAATCCTTGTGGTTTGGGGCTATAACCCAAAGTAGAATCAAAGAAGGCAACAATAGCTCCTTTTGGGAGGTTGTTTGGCACTTGCATCTGCAATAAGTTTCGCGGCACTACTTGTGTTGTATTCCCTGGAGCAGCATCCACATTTGAGATGTCTGCAGTTTTCAGACCAGTTTCATCTCTCTGAGGACCTTTATCTTTCTGCTCCTTATTTTCCATGATTTCAATAGCAGGAAATTCTAGTTCTAGAGTAGCCTTGCATTTTCTATCATTGTCGTATGGTTCTTCCTCTTCATCCAAAAGTAATCCTAGCAAAGTACTTAATAGGTTTAGATGCTTCTATCACCTTGGAAGTAAATTGCAAGGAACCATACTTTTGTTGATTGTATGATCCTACAGTTTTTAGCATCATTCTCCTTTTATTAAGAATAGACACAATTCCCTTTACTTGAATTCTAGCTTGTTCTATAGCATGACTTAATGTAGAAGGTCCAAACAATTTTACGGACGGCTTAATTTCCCCCCTAAGCCCTCTTATGAAACTAGATAAGAAAGAAGCTTTATTCAAAGCAGGATTTTTAACCAACATTTGAGCTCTCTGTGTTTCAAATTCCTCTAAATAATCATCAACTCTTCCCTTCTCAGTCAATTTACTAAAATTCCAAATGCATAGATATACATTTAAAGTCTCAACCTAGAAAATTTATTGGTGACCTTAAAATTTGACCGTTGCAATATAGGCACCAGAGCACTACTATGCCGAAATGAAAACTAAAGAAAGAATGATCATTCAAATTTGCCTATCCCCGTCAACAAAATAGAGCTGTTTGGTCATATTCTAAAGAAAATTTATTGGTGACCTTAAGTGCTCATATTCATAAATGTTTCAGATGATTCATGAGTGACTTTTACAAAAACACTAATATCAGAATAAAAACTTACACTAGGGCATAATATGCCTATCCCCGTCAACAAAATCTGGGCAACCCTCAAGAAATCTCGTGAGAGAGCATCGCAAAAGATAACAGAGGGACGAGGAAAACTGAGCCAAAAAAATTTGGACCATTTCTCGATTTGTGCGTGTCATCCTTGCGCGGGGCCATGCTAATCTTCTCTGTATCGTTCCAATTTTATCGGATGTCCCCGAAGGGACGAACTCCATAGTTGAGCTAGGGTTTTTATTGTGCCGTAAAGCTCTTCTCTGTTCGATGAGGGAGAACGAACTACAAGTGTAAATACCGCTTTGAGTCCTAAAGAAGGAACTGAACACCTTCATCCTATTTTAAGAACGTTTATTTCAACATCAACCCCTTATGTATCCATTCACTTGATAAAGTTCCCTCTGCACTTCTGAAGATGTCATACTTACCCTCTTTTTCATACTATTCTTTAACCCAAGATGTCGAGAGAAGTAATGATTATGCAGAAGGTTATGAAATAATATTTGATAATGGGTGGTGGCCAAGGGTGAAACTATACTAGTGGAAGTGTGATTAACTCGACTCCTTTCGTCAAAAAATTATATCGTATGTATAAGTTAAATATTATTAATTCTAGTTATGCAGGGACATATATAGTATTAAGGTAACGTGTCACGACCCAAAATCCATAAAGGTCGTGATGGTGCCGGGCATCACTGTCAGGCAAGCCAACAATGAATACTTAAATGGGTTCTTATTTTTGTTACTTTTGAAATCATATTTTCCTTCAATTTAAATCGTAAAAGATGAAGCTTACAAAATAAATAATACTCCTTCCGTTCCAATTTATGTGAACCTGTTTGACTGAGTACGAAGTTTAAGAAAAATAAAAATTTTTGGAATTTGTGGTCCTAAACAATTCAAAAAGGGGTCCAGAGTATTTGTGTGGTTATAAAAACTTCTCATTAAGGGTAGAATTGTAAGTTTAAGTAAAATTATTTCCAAATTTAGAAAGGGGTCGTTCTTTTTGGAACGGACTAAAAAGAAAATAGGTTCACATAAACTGAAACGGAGGTAGTAATATCTTTAAAAAAAATTCCAATACAGCACAACTCATAATCATCCCAAAATCCGGTATCACAAGTGTATAAGCATCAACTAGGAATACAAAATAAAATACAATAATTGTCCGGGATATAAATTTGGACAGAAAAGAAAATACAATACTCTGAGAGAGACTCTGTTGGCTGCGGATCATCATAAAGAATGCAACTCACCTAAGTCATTGCCATAATCGCAAATTCAGCTTGTAGCTTTTTAAGGAAATTACCTCGCTCGCGAAACATACATGCGACGCGGTTACACATAGATTTCTTAAGCTGTTATAGCATTACTCAATCTTTTTCGAAATTACGAAGTTCAAACGAACCCTTTTAAATCTTACGTTCTTCAATTTCAACTCCTTTCAAAAACATATAATAAGCAAACTCAATCTCGCTCCCTCCCAAGGCACACAATAAACATAAATCAATAACAATATCAACAAGGTATGATGTGAGCCTAAAACTACCTGGACATAGGCATAACTAGTAGTTATATACGGACTCTAGTCACCTCGTGCGTACGTAGCCCCCATAAATAGAAGCACACAATAATTTAGTTCACCTATGGGGTTAATTCCCTCTTACAAGGTTAGAAAGAGACTTACCTCGCTCTGAAGTTTCATAACCGACTCCCAAGCCATTCAATCAACTCAAATCAATGCCCAACGCTCCAAAACTAGTCAATAAGTAAGCAAATCCATAAATAAATACTCTAATGCTCATTATAATCCTATTTACAATAATTCTCAACTCCGTTCGAAAAGTCGATAAAATCATCCTCGGGCCAACGTGAATTTTCGAAGATAATTATTACACATAGTATTATGAACTCAAATATATGATTTATTCCCAATTCCATGCCCCAATGTCATGACAAAAATTCAAAATACCAAGTTCTAGGACTTTCTTCAAAATCTCAAATTTCTACTAGTTTTCATATCTAAATCCGTATGTAAACCTTGTATTTAACTTGCAATAGGTGGAAATCACTTACCTTGACATAGATGGTGAAGATGGAGCTCCAAAATCGGCTCCCATGGAGGAAATGAAGTGCAAATGAGCCAAAACCTCGATTTTAAAAGAACATTGCCCAAGTCTTTCCCCTTCGCGATCGCGGAAATCCACTCGCGATCGCGAAGGCCAATCAACGACTGCCTAAAAGCTTCCCTTTCGCGAACGCGATGCCCAGAACGGGATCGCATTGCTCAGCTCCCCTCCACATTCGCGATCACGAGCACCTCTATGCGATCACATAGAACAACCTTCACTAAACAGGCTAACTCCATTAACACAGCGCGTTCGCGATAGCCCTGACGCGAACGCGAATAACCTCCCGCTCGACCCTCTGCGAATGCGAACCATTATACGCGATCGCGTAGAGTAAAAATCCTACCAGTCCACTTAACCTTTCGTGATCGCGGCCCTTTCTTAGCGATCACGGAAGAGGAAACCAGATCCAGAAACCAGCAATTCCTCAAAGTTCAATATCCGTCTGAACTCGATTCGAAACACACCTGAGGCCCTCGGGACCTCAACTAATTATGCCAACACGTTCCAAAATACATTTACGAACTTAGTCGAGCCTTCAAATCACATCAAATAACATCGAAATAATGGATCGCAACTCAAATTCAAACTTTATGAACTTTAAAATTTCAACTTCTACATTCCATACCGAAACCTATAAAATCACGTCTGATTGACCTCAAATTTGCACACAAGTCACATTTGATATTACGGACCTACTCCAACTTTCGGAATCGGATTCCGACCCCGATATCAAAAAGTCCACTTCTGGTCAAACTTCTCAAAAACTTTCAAATTTCTAGCTTTAGCCAAATGACCTACGGACCTCTGAATCCACTTCCGAACGCGCTCCCGATACCAGAATCACCATACGGAGCTATTCCCAGACTCAGAATCCCAAACGGACCTTGATAACGTTGAAATGCACTTCAACCCAAATTTATGAAATTCTTCCAAAATGCCAACTTCCACAATAGGCGCCGAAACGCTCCCGGGTCATCCAAAACCTGATCCGGACATACGCCCAAGTCCGAATTCATCATACAAACCTGTTGGAATCTTCAAATCCCGATTCTGAGGTCGTTTACTCAAAAATCCAAGCTTAGTCAATTCTTCCAACTTAAAGCTTCCGTAATGAGAATTTTCTTTTCAAATCAACTTTGAACTTTCGAAATTTCAATTCCGACCACGCGTACCAGTCATAATACGTGAAGTGAAGTTGCTCATGGCCTCAAACTGCTGAACGACGCGCTAGAGCTCAAAATAACTGTTCGGGTCGTTACACTCTTTCCCACTTAAACATATGTTCGTCCTCGAACGTGCTAAGAACTGCTCTGGGGTTGTCCGAAATCACTGTTTAATACCTCGTGCACTTACCCGTGCTGCCACAACTCAGTTGAGCACACTAGCTCGAGCCAGTATGAAGATTCTCCCTTTTNTTGTCCGAAATCACTGTTTAATACCTCGTGCACTTACCCGTGCTGCCACAACTCAGTTGAGCACACTAGCTCGAGCCAGTATGAAGATTGTCCCTTTTTACTTAGCCAAATAAGCCTTAGAGTCCAATTCCAACATCCGGAATTCTCTGCCAGGCATGTTCCCATCATACGAACACCGTATCAATCACTACACGATGCACCGATACATGATTGTATACCTTTGCTGAATTCACACTATGCACTGCATAACTCACATGACTATAATAACATCATCTGATAACAATAGCCAAAATTCCACGAATCTGATGTTCACAATACACCTCATGACATATATAAGTCTTGTTCCAACTCTTGCAATACCGCCACGACGGAAGAGATGTGTAGAAATTCATAACCAACTGCAGAGTCAACAAATCATTGAATCTCTCCCTTTGACTAGAATAATCACCCAATTATGAACCAAATAATGGTATTTGCTCTTTAATATACTTCATATAATCCGATCGCACTGATCCCAGATCCAAAAATATCGTCTCACCCAGTATAAGCTGCTCAGGCAACAAGCCACTCCAGACATGACCAAAAGTCGCATATGATGCCGCAATGTGCCTATAAGCTACAAACTCGAACGTGATACATAAGGGGAAAAAATCTCTGGAAGGGACTAATCAACCCACACAACTAATTAGACAACCAAAAAGGTGTTATGAACCTTCCCTAGAAAATGGAAAACAAAACACACCAAAATAGATATAGGGGACTGTAATCAACATCCCACTGTTGCGGCGTGCAACCCAATCCAAACAACATACCCGAATATCGGCCACAAGAACGCTAAGTCCATAATACCATCCCTGGGGAGACAGATAGCGCCATACGCTACAAAACTCAAGCACAACTAAGGTGCGATATATGATTTGAATCTCGAGAGCCATCCTGCTCACATAACACCACCGCTATGCGGAACCTCAACACATAAGAAATTTACCAAGCTGTTTCACAACTCACACGTCACAATATAGTATTACATGAAAAAGCCTACGACAAAATGACATCAACGCCCGAATACTCCTCCATAAGGAGCGCTATGCTGAAATGAACACATCCGGCCTGATATAGAGCCAATATTCATATTTAAATCCATCCACAGACCTCAAGCCGATTCTGATCGCACCGTACTAGGCTAATAACCTTTCAAGGATCCATAATAACCCTTTTTTTCCCATAACACAAAAGAACAACCATCATAACCGGAACAAACTTCCACAGTCCACAACCAAGTGAACCGAGCACCTTTCAGGCATAAATTCTCGAATCAACGATATTACCACAATCTTCATACTTGGTTTCAATCTTCACTCAATCAAGTGACTACATGCCACTCTTACACAATCTTTCTGTGGGACATGCTCCCACGACCTTCCGCACCAGGTAACAAGTCTGCACATCCATACCACCGGTCACACTAATGTTGTAAAGCATATCAAGAATCCGCAATCAGTATGCAAAGCCTCTTACACAGGACACTGATCTCAGGTGACGCTGGAGACAATACCAGCTTATTCTAAACATCTAAATTCCTTTTCCTACTCATCCGAGCTCGTGACATCCTTGCCAATACCGAACTGCAACCTCAATCCCTAATCTTTCAAATTTCATGTCACTCACCGCACCTATCTTAACAATACGCGAGGACCCAAGAATTGCATCATAGCTCCTAAACCACTAATAGGATACACACTTCACTTTGTAGAAACCTTTCACTTTACTCGTTTCAGGAGAATCATTGCAATACATGACTGAATTCTGATAATCGTAGAACACACAAATCCTCAAGTAGTGGTCTAAACCACCATAACCCTTCCGGGATCCGCCTACACATAATATGCCATAATACTCGAATGC